GGTCAATTTCGTCAAAAATTGACCATCCTTCTTTGTAACCTTATTGATTCCCCATTCTCTTTGCTAATTCCTGCTAAAAAAGGTAAGAAGGAATGAATTTAGTCAATAGAGAAGGTTGGTTATTTTCGACGAAATTAACCCTTCCCAAGATAATAAGCAATGAATTAGCAGCTGCTCAGCAAGGTAATAGAAAATGAATAAGGTAATGGAGAAGAGTGGTCAATTTAGACGAAATTGACCACGCTTCTCTGTTATCCAATTGATTCTCCATTACCTTTATCTGTTACCGATTCTATTTGCTGATTTAAAGCTTTGTATTACCTTCTTCATTTTGGCGTGGAGGGGGGTTGAAAAGACTTTTTCTCCACGCTCAAATGAATTAGGGTAAATTACACGGTACATAGATACGGACGCTTAGTGCAAGAGGCTAAGGACAGGGCTCTAGCATGCACAAAATCACGTGACTCTTTAAATTTTAATCGAGAATTTCTTTAAAAAAGATTTGCAGACAGTTCATTATTTTAAAAGAAGGTGTTTAGAGGCCTCAAGAGATTTACGAAGGGGTTTCTAGAGGGTTTCCGAAGGTTTGATAGAGTTTAACACAGATCTTATGGAGATTATTGGTTTGCAGAGTGTTATAGCTGCTTTAGACAGTTTGCGAAGGTTAGAGAGTTTTCTGCAGGGTCGCAGAAGGTTTCATAGAATCTTTATTGGAAGCTTATGAAGGTATCCTGCACTCTGTGGTCCTGTGGTAAACCTGCTAAGCAAGGTTCTGATTTTGGCGCGTAGTTGCTTTCGCGGTGGTTCTTCGCCCTGTTTGCTGGTGTGCTTCGCGGTCGTCTCCTTCCGTCGATCCATCCCTGCAGCGGGTGTGGACGGCCGTTTTGGAGCTGTTCGCCATTCTGGGACCACCCAAATTTGCATGTGTCTTTTCCACATTGTAGCTTGGATCATGCTTTTTGCTTGGTCTGTTTGGTGATTACATCATGGACCATCAAGGGCGCAGATCCGTAAATGCTAACGCATAAATCAATCTCCAAAATCCTAGATCCCATTTCTTAAGTCCCAAACCTGAAACTCTCATCCCAAGTTGCACGCTCTAACTGTAAAAGTCTGATCTAGAGTATTGTCTTCTGTACCCATCCTTTAATAGCTCTAAAAGCTCCAAACCGCAAGGCGGTGTGCGGTTTAGGGTGTACCACCAAACCCAGAAAACAGGACCACTCTGTATCATAGATTCCGCTGGGCCTCGCTTCTTCGCGCTGAGCTTGCGCAGCGGTTCCTCGCCCTCCCTTCCGTTTGTCGCTATGTTTGACCACTTCCCATTTGTGGTGGCTTGGCCGTGCTTCGCCCCTTTTTTTGGTGCCTTCAAAGCTGTTGGTGTTTTTGCTGGGCGCGGCTTCTTTGCGCACTGCCTTTCCCTGTCACCACTCCTTGCTGTCTTCTCCAATTGCTTTGCATCCCTTGCTGTACTAGCTGTATCTCGGTTCTCAGTTGTGTTTGTGCAGCTGTTGGCGTTTCTGACTTTTTCTCGCTCTGCTTCCGCGACGGTTCTTCGCCCTGCTCCCTCTTTTTCAGTCTATCTTTGCTGGCTATGACTCCGTTCGGTTCTCCTTAGCCGCCATTCTCGGCGGGCGCCGCGTCTTCACACTCTGCCAGCGCGGGTTCTCTCGCCCTGCCTTTCTCTAGACAGCTGCGCACGGTGGCCGTCCAGACATCGTTCGGGCCAGTGGGTTGAGCGGCCTCTTTGAGGTATGGCTCGCCGTTCCCGGTTTCCGGCACTGCGTCTCTTGCAGGCCAGGTTTTCATGCCCTTTGCTTTCGCTGCAATCCTCCTTCCTGTCACCTTCACTTCCGTCTGCTGCGTGGCTACTCCGGTCCCTTCCCCTTCTCATTCTTTTTTGGCCATATCGGCTTGCTGCCGTTCTTGGGCCTTGGCTGCATTAGCTAGATCCTCCGCTTGAACTCCCCGCGGAGGAGGGCAATGACGGTTCCGGAGCCCTCCTGAGATGCTGGGGGGGGACGCGGTTGTAAGGCAGCGGGTACTCCCGTGTGCCGTCCTCCTCCTCCTCCTTTTTCAAATGCGAAACCAAAAAAGTCACAGGAGAGCTTTACATCTTTCCGGTCAATCACAGAATGACATTATGTGTGTGGCAACCATAACGATTATTTCATCGTGTTTTACCACAACCACAAAACTGAGGCCACAAGAGCGTGCCTTGCAGAATAGTCAGACACAGCAGTCGCATGCAGGGGCATATGTTTTCTTGATGTTTCTAGGTTTGTGTGTGTTTTTTATCGGACATGGAAAGTCCCATTTTTTTGTGATCACAAATCTCGGGAATGCAAGCCAGCCTTTGCAAACTTTTTCGGCTCATGTAAGAACAGTAGGCAGTATGTGGTATTTTTTACTATTTGCAAATGTTTCTTCTCTCAAGCTACCAAATTGGGTTCAGGACATGTGAATGTAAAGCATGGGCCCTAAATTCAACACTGTTCAAAATGCGTTCGATGTGTTTGACTTTGTGAAGTGGATGCGATGGAGGACTGGTTGGGTTTGCATAGGATGCCGCTGAATGATTTTCTAACGTGTGTTTGCGCTCAGTCAGCTTGTGTGGTCAATGATGAGCAAATTGCATGCTAAGCTTCGTTTCGAATGTCCAAAGTTACCATCATCAATCTATCAGGACTTAACAGAGAAGGTGGACCAGATCTTGAGTGAGGTGGCAACACAAACTTTGCCGGCAGTGGGAAGCTCAAATAGGACAGGGAGGAAACCATAGGAAAACCCTGGCAAATTCACTTTGACGGGCTTCTGCTCTGCAAGGCCAATGGGTCACGGTACAATGACAGCAAGTCGCTCCTGGCCAAGCTGAGGGATGGTCGAGATCTGCAGGCATGCATTCTTGCCTTATGGTTATTGCATGTGAATGCATGCCACTTAGGCGTACAAGCTTCTCTTGCAAATCGTCATTCTCTATGTTGCTGCCATAGGTGGAACTTACAGCAGATATGCTGTTGGGCATCAGCCACAGGCTCAGGCGGTACTGTGTATTCAGCAGCGTGGGCAAACCTCATCGTGAACCAACTCATCATAGCCTCGTGCCGGTATGAATCTGATATTGAAATGATGAAGAGTCCTTTCAAGGTGAGGATGACAAAGACAAGTTGGCGGAGCAGCTCAGGACCCAAGGTATGTTGCGCATTTTGAATTTTTATCCATGCAACCGTTGTCTCAAACCCGACTTTGCCAGGCCTTGATGTGGAGGCAGTGGAAGTTCCCAGGCCTATAGCCTTAGCTGATAGATTAGCGGCTTCTTATGTCGACATTTGTTTGCACCCAGGCCACCGCAGGCCAGCCACACGTTGCAGTGGAGCGATGCCATTTCTCAGGCAGTGGAAGTTGCCGTTGACAAAATTGGGAGACAGCCAGAACTTCTTGTTGTAAAAGTCACGCTGGAGCGAATGCACAGAGTGTGCCTTGCTGATAGACCTTCCAAGTAGTTGTGACGACATGTTCCACTTGGCATGCAAGGCCTTTAGCAAGGCTTGGTTGTCACGGGTTGACGTCACGGACTTCTGCGAGATGGCGAAGCGCACAGCTTCTGCTTTTGGCGTGTGGTAGAGGCGCATTCGTTCTGCCTGGGGGCATTGGATTTCGGGCAACCGGCTACAGGTGCACAGGCAGACACAGCTGGGCCACATAAACCTTTAGAGCATGTCTTCACCAAAAACCAGACATGAAAGCACTATTTGATGTGATTGGACCTGCAGCCCATGGCCAAGGTATGTAAGTGCGGAGAGCGCTTGTTGAAGCTGCGACGCTACAAGTTGGCCTACCAGGAGGCCGAATTCTGCTGTGCGGCTGTTGTGGCAGTGGTTTGTTTCTTTGATGACGAGATTTTTCCGATGGTGTTGACGTTCTAAGTCAGCCATTGCGGTGGGTTGGTTTCAAAGCGTAGCCTCTGCATGGCGACATCCTCATCATGGGTACCTCTCACGTTATTCTTGGCTGAATCCTTACTGACCTGTATGCAAGTTTGAGGCTGAATGCTCACAGCCTGGATCAGAATGCCTTGCTCTGCAAACAGCACTGGGCTGCAGGTCTTCTTCCGATACTGCGATCGGGCTGTGCAGCTTCGAGCAGAGATTAGCAAGTTGGGTTCTCAGCTGTCATTGTGTGATAGTTTTTCACGTGTAAAGAGAGGTGGTGCAGGCATCTGAGATCTGCGTGAGCATGCAGTGTGGTTCGCGACGGTTTGTCGCACAAGATCTAAGGAACCATCTTGGCGAGACACCGTCTAGGAAGATTGCAGCCTTTTCCTCAAGTCGTACTGCTGTGTCGTTTTGCTTTGCGCTGTTGTCAGCCTCTCAATGGGTTCTCAGGTGTTCTCGCGGTACGTCCTGGGCGCTTCAGCGGCGCTGTTTCTACAAACAGTTCACCGAGATGACGCTGCAAGAAGGCCGGTAGTGGTGAGCAAAACAGGTGTGCAGAATACCCTGTCAGAGGCGCTATGCGATGGCAAGTTGATCTAGCTAATAGAATTAAGTGCTGCCCTGATGAAGCATAGAAGCCTATGCCCGTACAGAGCCCTTTGACAATATCCTTTGGACCGTTCCCGCTCGCAGAGGATCAAGGTAATTTTGGAGACACTGGATAGGCGAACACAGAAAGGGATAGCTGGATAGGCCGGATAGGATGGTTAAAAAGCTGTACTTGAAGAAGCTACTGGCGAAGCTACTGGCCAGGCTGGACACTGCGTGCAGCTCAGACAGCTCAAATTAGTCTCCAGCAACCAGCAGATGCCTTTTGCTGCTTAGGTTGACATCCTTCGAGATGTTTTGCGCGACATCCTGCAGTCAGTCCAAGTTTTGTCTGGTCAGCCAGAGGCACGTGACTGGTCATAAAGAGATTCGAGTACTCGGCCCTACCCGCTGGCAGCAGAACCTTCTGCCTGTTCAAGGCGGTCCGCGAGGAACTATATTGGTGCCTGTATAATAGTAGCCTGCTGACTATGCGCTGGGTTCTAAGCGATCTCCTTGTTTTCACATTTCACAGATTGAGATGCTCTGTACACCAAGGCATTGCTAGATGGCTGCGGCTTCATGGCTTCGCCCAGTTGTGCGTTCAACCTCTTTGGCTGCTGGCAACTCAGTTTGCTGAGATGTTTCTGAAATGAAGCAAACCTACGGTGCTATTATGCAGGATGGTGGAGTCCATGCACACTTGCCTTCCTCTGATGGCAGTGTACATGGTTCCCTTCAGATCTCGAGTCATGCTGGAGTGACTTGTTGATGTCTTGCACAGTGCTTGCTGATTCCTGGTTTTCATTCGGTGACCAGTCATGGTGGTCAGGAGCTGGCGTATTGTGCCGAGTCTGCCAAGCAGCTTGGCGAGGCATTGCGTCCAAACCCCGGAGGGCCAGTTTTGAATGTTTTGTAACTCGGGTGAAGTCTTGGCCTTGTCCCAGGTCTCTGTGACGTGGCTCAAGAGCATATTGAGAAAGCCAAGAAGCTTGAAACCATGCTGCCATGGCCTTGTCAGTTCAGGGGGCTTAGTGACCCAACTTTGTTGTTGGCGGCTTCATTTTAAGGCCCCCAGTCCCGCCAGAGACGACCAAGCTTTTCGAGGCTGCGTGCATGAATCGGAATTGGGCTCATGTTTGTAGACATCCAGGAATCAGCTGGAAAAATGAGGCAAATTTACCGTGCCATGGCTCAAGTGATTAGCATACATCCGGGCCAAGTCAGGTGCTCATCATCAAGCTAATGCAAAGCCGAGCTCCGGGTCTATGAAAGCAATCTTTCACATCTTAAGCCAGATAACAAGTCAGAAACGTCAGCATGCAGTCACCTTTTTTACTTGGGCAATCTCACAATCCTTTGTCTTTAAGTTTGTTCCGTGCCCAATCCATTAAGAAGATCCGCTGCATCAGCGGAGATGACCAGATGACTCCCGCGCGAAACTCTGAAGAGCTTTGGCGTGTGCAAGATCTGGTAATTTACCAAAATAGGGGGACCCCAATATAGACCCCAGAATACTATAATCCTCATTATTGGGACCCCAAACTGGTACCCCTAATTTTGGGAAACCCCCATCTGATGTTGGCATTGCTTTTCTCTTGATCTGCTCAGGCCGTGGCCTTCCAGAGTCCAGGGCAGGAGGCAGAGGTCATCAACGCTGAGGTGGATCCACAGGTCATTGATGCCGGGCATGGCCTCTTGTGCCCAAAAGACGTTTAGCCTTTTTGTGACTTAAGGGTGGCAAGATTGTAGCAGTCCTAATTGAGTTGGGTCTTGTTGAATCATTGTGCAGCCGAGGCGTGCATATTGGAAAAGACTCGCTGGCTGAAAGGACATGACCTACGTTTCTTGTTTCTCACCGGTTCAGTGCCTCGCGTTTTGCTGGCGTGCATGGCAGGATAAGGTCAATTTTCGACCGCTTTGACAAGGACCTTTTTTGGAAACCACACGGATGGTCTGACAGACTCTGCACGACTTCATGCAGATGTCGACATAGCCACTGAATACCGACTCAACACTGTTTGCTTGGCGCGGCGATGTCGATCAGTTCATACGCATCTGAAATCAAGCTTGGATGCAGCACGACTGTGCTGACATTCGCAAGTGCAAGAGCAGGGCTTTCTGAATGCTTGATGTCAGATTGTCTGAGTTGCGTGTGCCCCTGGAGGATGGCGGCGGAACTCTCGACAGGCGCGTTCGAATCGCGACCCTTGCGCACGACTTGCGGTCATGGTTCTTGGGAATGATTGGAAGGCACGAAATGCACCGAGTCTTCAAGACTCTCGTTCCCACCTTCACGCCCTTGTATCCCGACTGCATGGCCACATCTCGTCCCGACTGCATGGCCACAACTCGTGGTGTTTTGTCATTATTTTGCTGACAACTACCGGTTATCAGCAGCGCATTTTTATGGTCAGGGACGTAGCAAAGCCTTATTTGACGACTACCGTTGGGGTTATGCAGCATGCATGTGAACATGACAGTGAACAGTTTTGTTTTGTTTCTGGTGGCATGCATTTTGTCTCCGGATTTCTGATGATTTATGGTGACGGCCAAAAGTGATGCCAAAAGTCATGCTGTACATTGTGGATCGTTTTAGGTTTATAAAGCATTGACACAAATGTCCATCTTGTGCAGTAAGCAGTGGTGATCATTGTATAGTGGCACGCATGTGTGGCAAGGCAGATTAACACGTGCTTCAAGCACCTGGACAAAGGCTGGGCGTAAGTGTGACAGGATAGGGGGAAAGCCGGGGTGGCATACAGAAGTTGCAAGGTGCGGATGGTTTGGTCTCTCGTGAAGCGAATCTTGGCAACATGGTTTTTGCAGTAGCAGCTGGATATGGCCAAAAAAGAAACAAGGCATCCCATCCTGGTCTTAGGCAAGGTGAAGCATAAATTCGCCAAGGTTTTGCGAGTGGATCTTGACGGACATGGGTGAGGCCACCAAGGCTCCCCCGCATGAGTCAACTTTCCATCTCCTACGTGCTCTGGTCTTTTCTTAGCAATTCGCCGTGATCGAATGACGATCAGGTCATGCGAGCTCTGATCAAGGCAACCAGTGATGCCGGATGCCCCAGCATCTGCCAGAAACGCTGTGATACAACAACCTTCCCGATGCGAATTTCTCTCAAGCTTGAGCAGCAATGGCTGTAGCAGATTTCGAATTCCCGAAAGCTTGCGGTTTGCTCAGCTGCTCTGAGGCCCTTGCCACAAGTGTGAGAGAAGCGGCTTGCCTGCTATGCTTCTTTGTATCGTTGGATGCTAGTATGATTTTGCTGGATGGAAGCCCGCCAGGAAGTTCATTCCTGCCGTGTGACTTTGAGAAATGGTCTTGAGGTATTCGCTCGGTTCGACCAGGATGGTGATGGGAAGCTTGATCGGAGTGAGCTCTGGAGGCAGTGAATGGGAAGCAACGCCTGTCCTGAGGATTTTGTGTAGGCTTCACAACATAGAGTTGTAGACGGTAAACGGTGTGATAACATATGATAGCAGGATGCCGGACAAAGTTTGAGCCTCTCAAGCTTATCAGCATTTCAAACCATGGTTTCTGCAAAGTCAAGCGGTCAGTAGGCTGAGTTTTTGCATGTGCTGCCAGGGTTTTCAAGACTTTGGATGGGCAACTTCGCATAGGGGAAATCATTTCTCTGAGCACGCGGCCGAGCTTGTCCTGCCTGCAGTGAATACTGAGTTCTCCCTCGAAAGATCGATGATGAAGACATCACAAACAAATTGCATGTTGCTGTTGTAGTGGGATTCCATGATTTCCTGGAATGTCCGCATGAGGTCAGGAGCTGGACACTGGTGGGGATGGAAGAGTAGCTTAGCTTGACGACACTCAAATCATCTGACAGTCTGTACATTGCAGCACTTTGGAAGTCAGGTCTCCTATCGCGAGTTTTTGTCGTGGCTCCGATGTGGCTCAGATCGAGCCCAGGCCCTCACACGAACGACTCTCTGAAGCAAAAACATTTTTTGTTATGGCAGGGACGCAGCATGGTGGCTTCTGACAGCTAAGTTTTCCCGCAGCATGATTGCTCAAATTGTTCCTGTCCATAGATTCGCTGACCTTCGACAATTCCTTGGTTGTTTCCAAATATTTGTGCTTGACTTTCATGTCGGAGCAGAACAAATCGCTCCTGGAGGCAGCTTCGATGCTGAATTTGGAAGCGATCCAGAAGCTTCTATCATCAGGAGCAGATGCTGCCTACATTGATGACCCGGATGGCGTTTGGGGTTCCAAGTCCAAGAAGGGTCCCTTACATGTGGCTTTGCGAGCGCGCCCGTTCAAGTCAGACGAGGCCGCCTCTTCGTATCAAGAGCAGCTGAACCACTGGAAGGCTGTCGTACGCACGTTGATAGACGCAAAGGCCAATGTTAATGTCCAGAGCGAGGAATATGACTGGCGAGGTTGTGGTCACACTTGCAGCGCTTTTGACTTGGCTATTCCTTATGCGATCCAGGACAGCCATTTCTTAGAGCTCTTTTTGAATGCTGGAGCAGATCCAAACACCCGCAGCATCCACGACGTGCATTCCATGCGCACCGACGGCAGAAGTGATGTTCCGACCTTGCACACAGCGGTAGATGGAGGCAATCTCCAGGCTGTGAGGGCTTTGTTGGACCGCGGAGCGAATGCAGATGCCTGGTCTCTGGAGCAGTTTTTCAACGAACGAGGCTTCAACCGACATACAGAGCCTTGGTAATTGGTTAGGGGATTTAGTCCAGACGATTTGATTGAGGAAGCAAAGAGATGCGCGGGTTTCATGTATGTGTTTTTTATTATCTTGCGTGTCTTTTTGTTGGTCCCTCTGTTGACATCTTCAGGTTGTTGCGCTCATGCTGTACCCATTCCTCTGCTTTTCCAGGCACAGGGTTGAAAACTTGCACATGTTGCAACCTCTCCAGTGTCAGGAAGAAACAGCGCTACACCGTGCCTGCAGCAGCAGCGCTTGTGCGGAGATGTGCGCAGCTTTGCTGGCCTGTGGTGCCAACGTCACTTGTCTTTTTGATTTTGCCTCCAGCTTGCCCTTGGACATTTGAGTACAGTGACTTGGTAACTCTGGATGATGGGGGTTTGGGCACTGCTCATTCTGCATAGGTTGGGATCTTTCAGATGACTCAGGTGAACGCTGTGCGAAAGAAGCTTGATCTTGAGAACTCTGGAGTGCAATCTCAATCAGATGATCCACGATCAGCGGGCTTCGTGTCATCTGTGATTTGCGTGCCCATAGAGGAGACAGCCCTTCATATTGCGCTTCTTGAACGAAAAGCAGAGCTGGTGACCATGCTTGTTTGTGCTGGAGCAGACTCCAGCTTAGGACGGAAACGGGGAGCCTCGACTATGAGTTGTGAGGAACTGTGCCAGGGGCGGGAAGATCTCAAGAAGGCCTTAGGCGCGCAGTGGACTCCAGAGACTCACAAACACTTCCCGGCCAACGTCCGTGCCACGGTGAAAACGGCATTCATGATTGCACAGCGGCAGAAGTGGCCGAAGATTGTGCTGTTCAAGGTCTGCGCAATGTTTGCCGGACCATCGAAGCCGGCACTTGCCCTTGCTTAGGAGTTGGACTTAATTGACGGATGCATGATGTTCCTTGAATTCCGTTTGCACGTTTGACCTATGAACTGTAGCCTCCTGTCACACGCCTCAGGAAGCATGCAGGTGAGCCTTAGTCAAAATGTTTGAGGCAAAGCCGCCGTCATATCAACTTTTAATCCGGACAGCGGCTGCCAATTGTGTACATTCTGTCAGCGGAGGAGAGTCATTTGAAAAGCTGGCACTTGAGCAACAGAGATGAAGCTCAAAGAAGAACGTATCCCAGATTGAAGCAAATTGTGTGGAGTGGCCTGTGTGTGCACTTCTCGCTGGCGGGGCGCGAGCGTTGTTACATGTGGCTGTACCTCGGATCCAAGGATTGTGAAGGAAACAGGCCTGCTGTGGGCTGGTGGCTAGTGACTGCTGGTGATGCTCAGGGTTCATGTTTCTTGGGGTCTACGGTCTGTGCCAGGCAGAGCCAGAGAGGTGCGGATTCAACAGGCGCTTGGGCAGACAGCTTGCCTCGATGAACGTTTCTGGGTGAAAGCCAAGGCATTTGAGAAATACGACTCGACCAAAGATGGTCAACTGAACATTGAAGAGCTTACCAATGCCCTTAAGGCACACAGTGATTCTTCGCCTTGACTTGGACAGAATGTCCGCAGATTGGAAGGTTTTGGGAAGCTTCTCTTCCGACGAAGTGCGCCATGTACGCGAGCTGCCCAGCACAGCTCCCGAGGTGTGGTATCACGGGCCATGCAAAATGGCCAGCTGAGGTGATGACTTGGACAAGAGCGGGGATGGCAAGATCTCGTACGAGGAGTGGCTCGGCACAAGAACTACGAATCAGTCAGGTTCTGCAAGAATGGAAGAGCCACACAGACTGTGGATGTGTTACCTTAGGTTTCGCTCCTGGATCCACTGCGGCAAGGGAAGGAGGGAGGTGATCAAGGCCAAGGCGATCTTGGCCCCGAGCGCCACTTGACCTCCACTTTCTTCGGTTTGCTGCGCAAGTTGCTAGCCTGGGCCTGGCTTTAAGGATGGGGACGGCTTGGAAGCGGTTTTCTACAACTTTTGTGGCCCTGGGCATGTCGTGGCCCGAGTGCTGCGCTGTCAGGGTCCCATGTGCTGTATACGTTTGTGTCAATTGCAGCCGAGGCAGAGCTGAGCGGCACCAATTTTCATCGGCTTTGCAAGGCATCGAAGTCTGTGAAATGTGTTCTGCTGCAATGCAAGATGGGATTGACGTTAAGGACTGTCATATCTTGGACGACAAGCTTGACACAGCATCAGCAGGGCGCATGTATCCTTCGCGTGCGTCCAGCTCCTGGCTGTTTCCATGCTTGAGGTGGACCTGATATTTTCCGACACGAGGGTGAAGGCGGAGCAGGGAAGGCACTGCAGGCCGAGTTGCGCAGTGACCGCTTATCATGTGAAGGACCATTCCGCGCGAAGCATCGACTTCCTCCAGTTCGAGATAGCGTTGGCAGCTCAGGTTTTTCAGAATCCAAATCTGATTTAGTGAGAAGACTGCTTGATCAAGTGCCGTGGCGTTGCGTTTGTCCTGCGAGGTTGGAGCTTCTTGCAGAGAGGAAGGGTGTCAGCCGGAAAAGCCTTCGCACAGCAGTCAGCCTCTCTGTTTCCACGGAGTTTGAGCTTCGCCCAGTCTGCTTCGCATTTGCCATGAGGTTCTTCTACAGGGCCATCCAGAGTCGCACAACAAGTGCCATGCTCACGAGGAAGGGTCGAGCTACTGGCGTTGGGGCAAACATGGCTACCTGGCCGCTGCTGCAGGACCCTGGAGTATCATCTCAGAAGAGGCTACTTGTAGCATTTGTGTCATGCCTTTGCAAATGTTTGATTTTGAAGTTTTTCCCCAGCAGATGCTGCAGGCGATCCAGCTTCTCGGGTTTGGATCCTTCGGGTCTTTCTGCAGGTGCTTCCCATGCTTTCACAAGGAATAGGATGCTATGGTTTGGGACACGCATTTGAGCGCTGTGCGATGCAGTTCTCGGGAAGAAGCCAACTCGATGCAGCAGTCAGAAGCGTGTTGCGGCACTGCTGAAGCAGACTCCTGGCAGCAGCTGGCAGCTGTAGTGACTTTTCAAAGTCATTCTTGAGCATATTTGTCTCGTCTGCCTCGCTTTGTAGTTCAGATGCACAATGAATCCACGTTGCTCTGGGCACCTTGCAACGTTTTTGGCAGATGTGCTCTCAGTCTTGGTGCTGCATGAGAGCAACATCTGCCGAATGCCCAGGACACAGCATGAGATTGCTGGCGAGGAGTCGTGGAGGAAGGCAGAAAGCTTGGGGGACAATAAAAGCTTGAGCTCGATAGCTGCAATTCTTTTGTTTTAGGACGTGGACAACAGCAAGCTTTGGAAAGTTTTCGGCTGTGAGCCCAGTGCCACAAGATTGCAAACATGACAAATCTGGCGCAAGTTTTGTCAAAGGCTTGCACACCCCTGCGGGACGTAACTTGAAGAAGCTGTATGAAATGCCTTACGTTCCGCAAGCACCTCGCTGTCGTCGCTGGGCGGCATCACGATATCATATGTGACCGGACAGTTCGGTTGTAGCTATTGTTGGAGTCCTCGGGCATTTCGAAGTCTTTTGGATTGAGCATAAGTGGAACAGTCAGGCAAAGGAAACGAACACAGTTGGTCGAGCCCCTTCCTCATGATGAGTTCTGAGAGCAGCTCTCGAACAGGCTGCATCGCGAAACGTTGTGAAGTGTAGTTCCGGCCATTCTGGATCCTTGAGAGCCTGGGTAGGTCCTCCCTGGACACGCCCTGGGCTTCAACCGCCGAGGCGCACACAGCTCTAGTAGGGCTTCTCTTTCACCTGCTATAATCCATCCACCGCAGAGTCCTCCCTGTCTGCTGTTACATCTGTTACTGGTACAACCTGCTGGGCGGATGTGCCAGGTTTGAAAAAACAAGCTGAGAGTCTCCTTCCTTTCCGGCAGACTCGCCAGGCAAGCGTGGTAGGCCACAAGCCGTTGCTGTCCACCGCATCTTGCTGGCATTGAGGGCAACATGCCTCTTTTCCAGGTATGGTTCTGTGCTTGCCACATTGGATGCAGCATCTCAGGTTCGCGCAAGATAGCTGCTCTTTGATTTTTAGTTCGTTATTTTTAGGATGCACCGGTCAAGGCTTTTGAAATGTGGCCGACACCGTTCTGCTTAGCAGTTCTGATTCTACAGCAGCGAAGCTGCGCAAGCTGCAGAATGCCTTGCAAAGATTCTGAGTAGATGTTTGGACGAAGCCTGGCTTGCACGAAGCAGAGGATTCACTTCTGCAGTCAGGGCATTCTGCATGGCCACAAATAAATGATAATGTGAACTTGTAGTGAGCGGCACTCGTAAGAGCAGGCTGCAGTCACTTTTGAGATCCAGGTGTTCTTACCCAGCACGCTGCCGGTAGGCAAAAAGAGAGGGCTGTTATGAACGGCCTGGGTGTGTTTCGTTGCATTCAAGTCCGGCTGGTCTTGTGTTTTCAGCACACACTGGATGGAGGCGATAGATTTCTGACAGGTCCAGCTCCTGCGGTTCAAGCTTCTGAAGAACAAGTACGAGTTCTGGCTTGGGAAGGCGTGATCTGAGGGCTAGCCATCTTTGGGGTGCGTCATGCTGCTCAGGTTCCCGATGCGAATCAGTTGAGTTCACGCATAAAGGACCCACATTTGTGCTCGCATTTTGGAAGTAGGTTTCTACCTGGGAAGCGCATGCCCAAATTCAAGACAATTTATTTGAATTCCTACATTGCGCTTGATGCAGGAACTTTCCCCTGACACGACCGTGCTCGTGTCACGCCCGCAGCAAGCCAGCAATTTTCACTTGTCCGTGCCATAATTTGTTTGAAATGATGCGGCTGTGCATTTCATAATGGGCTCAGTGGGACAGACCCTTTTTATTGTGGCTCCGCAGAATGCCAACTCTGGACATGTAACACTCTAAGGCTGCTTTCCTGATAAAAATCAATAAGACGCAGTTGCAACTTACAAACGCCCTTGTCGAGCATTGCATGATTCTCCATCGAAGAGCAGTGACATGGAGTCTGACAATCTCCCTGCAGCGTGCAGCGGCGACACCGGCATCAGGCATTGTAAGTTAAGTTCTGCCCAGTTGCTTGGTGTTTGTTGCAATAAATGTGAGGCAGTACAGAGCATTGACGCCATTGCTCTTGTGCTCTGCTGCAGTTAGTCTGGGATCAAACCGAAGTTTCCATTCTTCGGAAGATGGCACGACAAGCGAGGGATGTGGAGCTTCCTGTGGATGATGAGCGCCCGGCGCTTGTAGCGTTTCCCGATGGAGAACAGCTCAGCCCGGCAGGCCAGTCCTTCTGTTAAGTCCTAAAGTTAACTCCAGAGGCAGCGCATGTTTGTGGATTGCTCTTGCAGTGCTGGGTGGTGACGTGCTTTGTGCTTTTGCTTCGCTTGTGTCAGGCAAGGCCAGGACCTGCTATGCTTCGAGATTTTTGTCATCGGCACTGCTTGCAGCATGCTCTGCTGCTATCGGTGCCACGCTGATGTCGCTGGCCGAAAAACCGGTCCACGCAAGCCTGCCAGCTTGGCCAGCTTGCCGCTATGGCCGAAAGAAGAGAGAGCCGGTTCGTTTCTACAGCTCTCGCGCGAGCGAGACTCTTGGGGAGCTAAGCGTGGCAGAGGTGCAGGCAGTGTCCTCCTGGTTCATGGCGAAGACAAGTGCTGCAGGTGCTCGCTCTGAGCCATCCGTGGAGAAGTGGCTGGCGGGGCCCTCAGCAGTTGAGCTTCTGCGGCCACCGAAGAAAGCAACCTTGGCTTACTTGGACGGAAAGGGACCGAAGCCGGCTCGATTTGCCCGTGTCACCATGGCAACAAAGACTGCCGTGCTGGAGTACAAGGTGGGGCCTCTGGGGCCTGCTGCATCGCTCGACGGTGCCACCATTGAGGAGCTCGTGCCAGCTGGAAGCATCCCGTATTCAAAAAGGCCCGGATTTGAAGAGACCAATTTCGTCGAATCCTTGTACAACAAGACGATCGAGGAGATGGGAAAGCACATGGTGGGCTTGATCTGGATTTCATATTAGAGAAAGCATTGTCAGAAGCCAGGTTAGGCTTTAGGGGTTTGGGGTTTTAAGCGAAAAAAGGTAAATGTTGCTGGCGTAAGCTGTTGAGGAGATGAGCAGCTTGCTCATTGAGGCCTTCGGCAAGATCTTTCCGCACTTAGGAGGCTTCTCCCCAGAACATGGCACTGCATTGTACCTGCCCCGCAACGATCCGCTGGCTCCTTTCGGAACCCGAAGAGTCCGCATCAAGAGCACTTGGCAGCCTCCACTGCCATCCCGTCCTGATGCTAACTGGTTATATCCCATTCCGTTTGACTTCGAGGTCAACATCACTTCCTGGAATGTTTCTGAGTGGTATGTCAGCCACATAACCTTCTGTGGACAAGGTCCCTGGAATTCCACCGCTGAAGTGGTCGCAGCTCATGCAAAAGGCCAGCTCAAGCTTTGCAAGCCAAACTTCTCGAGTGCAGGAGGATGGGACACACCGCAGCAGGAATCCCCCAGGTCAGGTGCGCCACGCCGCGAAAGTGGCGACTCGGGTGTGGCATGGGGACCTTGGTCCTTCTCTGTAACACAGCGCCCCTCCACTGGCGTTGCGATTACTGATATAAAGTTTCGTGGTGAGAGGATCGCGTACGAGCTGGCTTTGATGGATTCACAAGCGATCTACGGGGGTAGGGTAAGGGATCAGTTCATGTACTCCGACAGTGCTTATACGATGTCGCAATGGAGTACCTCCCTTGAACCAGGAGTAGACTGCCCTGAGGATGCCACCTACCTTTCTGCAGCTAACTGGATGGGACCCGTCCTGTCCAGAAACCCAGATCCAAGTAAGGCCAACGCATTCTGGCCAATTTGCATCTTCCATTGGGATGAGGACCACGAGATCTGGAGACACATGGATGCGGGATATACTCGTGGCTATGTCCGGAAAACAATCCTTGTCCGCTCCATTGCTACCGTTGGCAACTACGACTACATTCTAGATGTGAAGTTCCGCGAGGATGGCGAAATCAATGTCGAGAGCCGTTTTGCAGGATACCCTGAAACTCGCTACACCGGTGTAGGTGAAGAGAGATTCTCTACGATCGTTCGCCCAGGTGTCGCCGGTATCGTCCACACGCACAGTGTTGCATGGAAAGTGGATCTGGAAATTGCGGGCAGCAAAAATGCCTTGCATGTCACTGAAGTCCGGGAGCATGCTTCCTCCGGACTTGGAGTTGATTGGAGAGCTGACCCCAACGAGGAGGTCTTTCCCACCAAGATCCTGGAAGCACGATACGTGGAGCGCGAGGGTGTCGGGCTTTCCACGTTCGCTGCTGACCCCAAGGTGCCTAAAGTGTGGGCTATCGTCAACAGAAACTCCTCCTCCAGCGCAGCAGGAAGTGAGCTCAATCCTCGTGGCTATCGCGTGGAGCTGCTTTCCTTTTCCACCAGCCAGCTACACTCAGCTACCCACCCCTTCGTCAAAGCAATGCCCTGGACGAAGTATCACCTCGCCGTGACGCGGTATCAGGCTGGTTATGCTGGCGACCTTGCAATCATTCGGTTGTTGCTGCAGACATTTTTTTGAGCAGGACAATGAGTACCGTCCGTCGTCGCCATATGTGTTCCTAGGCCGCAATGCTTGAGCAGTGCCCGCTGTTCTTTTGCTGGGTGGAGAGCTGAGGAATTTTGATGGTTTGCAGCCATGGAATGATAAGTACGCACAAGATCTGGATGTCTTTTTAGGCAACAACGCAGCTTGGATCTGGATTCAGATGCAAATTGTGATGACGTGGCATAGACATGATGGCAAGCAGAGATAGCATTGGTCCAACGCGCATCTACGTTACGTACACGAGCAAAAGAAAAGCAGCAACAATAATAGCAATAATACTAGTAGATGATAATATTAATGTAATAGTACTAACCGTGTAATAGTAGCGGGCTTTGTAGACTGTGAATATCAAGGCAGGGATTGAAGGGATTGGGGCCAGGGTTTGTTTTTTTGGCCTGAGGTGGTTTGGAGGGTCGAAGCCTGTTTGTTTTTTTTTTGAGTGGGTTCCGAAGGGTTACCATCATTTTTTTGGGATTACATAGAGATAATGGAAAAGAAGCTGGAGGCTACTACATAATAGGGTTTATGGTTTAGGCCATTTGGAGCGTCGAAACCTGATTTTTTTCCGGGGGCTTGGTTCGGGGGCTCTTGACCTTTGGTGGCTGGATGGGGCAAAGGTTGATGGATATCGTTTGGAGAGCGCAGACCGCTCAAGCTTAAGTTTAATCGAACTCTTGAAAGTTTGAGTCATGGCTTGGCGAATGCACATCGGTAGTGTGTTGGTCTGTTGGCACTTGAGCGCCCTCTCGCAGGAATCCCTCCTTGACGAGGACCTGGTTGCTTGGATCGGGTTGAACAAGGACCTTGTTGGTGAAACTGGCTTCTCCCTTTTTCATGTATGGTACGCGAGAACTGCAGCAGTTCCTCCAACCCGCTTGAGGAGCACATTGTTCGCCAAGAAGATGTTCCACTTGTATCCAACTTCGGCGTCGCGTTTTCCTTGCAGCCGTTCAACTTCTTCGAACTGAACACTGCTTCGAATCCTCCTCACTCTGCTTGAGGGAAAGCCTCAGGGATCACCTCTGGCTTTGACAGGGCATCTTCCATGGTCCGGCAAATATGCATAGATCCCGGGCAGAGAAGATCAATGCCGGCCGGGCCATTCCCAAGCCAGTAGACCCTGACAGATGCCTGCGGCCGAAAATTGAGTCAGGTCTGTTTCTGCTGTCTCACGCGTGCTGTCACTCCATGCTACCACCCACATGGGCCGGAGGTCGGAGTTATGCCAGTCTCGTGGATCGAGGCGAAGGGATGCAATTCTCGAGGCTAGAGGAGTGGGTACCGAAATCTCAAGAAGTGCTAGCTTGACAAAAGATGGTTTGTGACGCATGGTTTCAGCAAGCAGCCGAATTCTGGAAGCACATCCCCTGCCAGGCATCTTGTCGACCGGCGTGTGGTGCATGTGGTCGGCGGCTTTGGCGGAGCGGGTGCTCTCTCCTACAAGAAGCATGCCAAGCACAAGATGCCTTTGTCTTAGGCTATGCAATACTGCGTAGTAGCTGCGACGAGAGGGACCCCAGGCATGGGACTGCTTGTCTTCAGGCTGGGACCCGGCTGGCCATGCGGTGGCAGTGGTGGCGTCTCAGCAGCATTTCGCGCCATGTGCTGGGCAGGTGAACTGACACAACCTTCTTATAAGTATGAAATAAGTTCTGGAAGCGGCATTTATATGTCCTTGGCAGGCAAAGGTGGCGATGTGATCGTGAAAGTCCCACGGCCGCAATGCCAATGCCCTTTCACCTGAGATTGTTGCAGGACATCACAACTGCTGAGGCAAGTGGCGCACATTACAGTCTGGCACATCTCAAAGGACATGTGCAAGCTCCGAGCGGAGAATCTGGCAGAAAAGGCAATCTCAATGGCGACACCGGTCATTGCCGCAGCTGTTTGGCATTGCTGTCTCTGGCAATTCATGAGATTTGAGACCTCTTAGGTCGCGACAGCTTCATCACTGTTCCGCGCGGCGTCATGGTGAGGGAGATGGTTCCAGAGGCAGATTCTAGACTTGCATCAATGCTTGGGACCCTGTGAATCCCGAACAGAGGAAGGAACAAAACTTTAGATTTTCAATAATGAAGTGATGGCTTTCTATATCCAAGAGTGCCCAGGATCAAGCGGAAGAGGCATCGAAGCTTGTACCAGGCCCACTCCTGGCTGACCTGGACAAGCCTGGAGACTCCGTGGTGGTGGCTCTTGGAGGCCGGGGTGGCATGGGAGACTCAGATGCAGTTGGAAGCCAGTTTTTCTGGGGACCCTAAACTCTAAACCCTGTAAACCACAGCATAATTCCAGTTTCCATTCAATTTTTTGTTTTCTTTTCCCTTTGATTCTCGATTGTTGGGGCAATATATCCTTCTTTTTACATGCCATGGTGATGATCCAGTTTTTAGGAAACAACATGGCACGGCCTCACGAAGCCACGATGGGTCTCCCTGGTGAGGTTCGCAAAGTCGAGCTGGAATTGAAGATGGTCGCAGACATAGGCCTCATAGGCATGCCCAATGCTGGCAAGTCCACCCTGCTTGGGTCTGTTAGTCGGGCTTGTCCCAAGATCGCACCGTATCCTTTTACCACCGTTGCTCCCTACGTTGGCAAAGTGCATTTCCTGGATGGCTCCTCCATGACCATTGCTGATGTTCCCGGCTTGGTGGAGGGAGCTCACACTGGTGAGGGTTTGGGGCACGAGTTTCTACGACACCTGGAGAGGACCAAAGTGTTACTCTATGTTGTGGACTGTGCGAGATCCTCGGATCCTTTTTTGGACTTCCTCAGTCTGCAGCGGGAAGTGGAAGCCTTCTCCAGAGTCATGGCCTACAAGCCATGCGCTATTGTTGCCACGAAATGCGACGTGGATCCACAGCAGACGTTGCCCAAAGTTGATGCTCGGTTTTGGAAGTTTCCTGAGCATGTTGAACTCCTTAGTTCGTGCTTACAGCAATGGCAAAGTGTTTTGTGTTTGGAACCACGAGTGTGACGAGACTTTCAGCTTGCGAACTAGGACAACTTGTACCGATTGCTTCGAGACGCGGAAGCCCTTGGCCTGGAGCTTACAAATTTAGTATGCCTTGTCAACTTTGCTCTCGGCTGCATCCAGGTCAGAACTCGCCGTTGTTTGTACGGGCCATCTCCGCGCGTTTCGGGGAGGGGGTGAAGGGTCTTCTCAAGGACTTTGCCATGCACGTGTTGCATGCGTGAAATGTGTGCCAACTCTTGTGCAAAGACAGCGTTGGCTTTCCGTTGGTGTTCCATTGCATGCACGTGGGCGTGCCTGCGACCTAAGGGAGTCAACGGAGGTATGGTGGGTGATGTAGACGTGTTTCGAGACCGTACGCGAGAGAGTCATATACAGTTCTGTTGACAGGAGCTCAGAGTCATCCTGCAGGGCAAGCATGAGTGCCTTGGCTTGCACTGATCCGCACGTAGCTCAGACAACAAGCATTTCCGACAAAGCGCAGGCGCTGGCTGGCCAGAGTGGAGGAATCGCTTATGGAAGAACAGATGAGTTCTGCGGCGGTGTAGCACAAAAGTCTGGTCTGCCATTGACTGCATAGACATGGAGCTGTTGGCTTGACGCTTTACGTGCATACCAAGATCAATTTCGCTGTACGCAAGGTCCAGCCTTGTGGAGACCCTGCAATTCCTGCATGGTCTGCCTCAACACTTCGGTGCGGAGGACTGCGCATGTGCACTCAGATGTTGCGCAAAAAGTGCAGCTGGGCTGGGCCAACGCTCCATGGAGGACTGCAAGGGTGCATTGTTAGACGGCCTTCCTGTCGAACAGGCGCCAGTCAGGGTGGCGTGATTGAAGCTCCAGCTGTATCATGGACAGGGCAAGGCAGATCCTGAAGGAGTTGAGTACACGCGACACACAAACAAAGAGGTGCAGGCGAGTCCGCTGTGCATGTTCATCGTGCTGAAGCCGTTGTGCCTTGGCATAGCCCTGCATGGGCAGGCAAAGCAGGTCAGCATTTTAGCAGCTCTTGCCTGGCACCTGGCTTCACTTCAAGGGATTTGAGGCACACCTGCTGCGCCCAGGTGGACCTGATCAAACCCCTTGCTGAAAAAGCGGAGGCTGCAACCGAGGTGGGCCATCGTGACCATCCTTTTTCTGACTAGTGGTGAGGGAATGAACACCCAACAATCACAGGCCACGCAATTCGTTTGAATGACCATTATCACTACAGTACCAGCTCCACTACTATTTTTAGAATTTGTAGTATTAAAGTTATTGTTGTTCGTATTATTGCTGTTAATATCTGTGTTGCTGCTGCTACTGCTACTGCTTCTGCCGCTGCTGCTGCCGCTACCCGTACATGGTGGGAGTCACAACGGTGGTGATGGAGTATTGTTCATGTTAGCAGTACCAATGCGAATTATAAGCAGCAGCAGGAACAGCAGCCTCGGCAGTTGTTACGCGTTGTATCTCTACTGCTCTGGCTATTGCCATGGAGTCTCGTTTTGTTATTCGGCTGAAAAGCATAATCTGCATGTTCTTTGAGCTGGGAGGAGCTGGAGGCTCACACCGTGCTGCGTCTCAAGTGGGAGGCGGAAGCTGAGCGTCGTGCTCGCACCGATGAGCCCAAGGCCAGTCATTTGTCCTTTATTTAGGGACCCTCTTTGAATAGCATAGCAGTCGCCGGCTGCCACTGGCGAAAGCAGACGCTGTGGGTGAGACTGGCTGACAGTTGGACGAGAATGGCGAGGAGGTTCCCCCGGTGCGAGGCTTAGGTCATCCTGCAAAGTTGAGGCATCTCATGGCAGCCGCGATGCTTCTCATTGAATGTCCTCGTGTCACAAAGATCCCGACAGATGGAACGGCAGCTTCCACAGACCACACTCTGCAGGAGCCCCGACCCAAAGGCCCCGACGAGGAAAAGCTGGAGGCCACTCAAAGCTAGGATGTCACAGGATTGTACATACGCTACTGGAAGCAGATATTGAAAAACTGATGCTGAGTTGCTATGGTTTGCCAGGGCTTGGGCTTCGCCAAGGGTGCCAAAATGCACGACCTGGAGCAGGCTGCAACATCTGCAGCAATGAGCAGTTTCTTACTAGTACATCAAATGAGATGTGCTCCATTATACATTTTACTGTACGTTCCAATACATCATATTGTATATCCTACCCCATTTTACCATGCTTTGGCCAAGCCTTTGCAGGCCCTCCCGCTGGCTTCTCACGTTTGGCTGTCGGAGCAAAGTCTGCGACAGGACTGGGTGACTGGAACCCTCGGCCGTGCTGTGCCAAAAGCCCTCAGGTTTGGGTGCAGGGCTTATAGAGCTCAAGGAATATGCCCCCAAGAGGTGGAAAGAAGGACATCCAAAAACAAGAATCCAACAATATTCCCAGATTCCCATCAGCTTCAGGAGATGAGGGGTAATGACGGCATCAAGGCCAGCGCGTCAGCCCAGCACTGCCCCAAAAGCAAGGATTGTTTGGGCAGCTCAATTTCTGGCAAGGCACGAATGATGGTGGTAAGGTTCTTCTCTTCAGAAGGCAATAGTATCCCAGCATTACTAAGAGTTGAAATAGTTCGACTTTGTGCACAAATGACCTTACATGACCATAGACCCATCGAAGCTGTCATGTAAGAACTACGCGGAATGGCAACTGCCACAAGTAGTACTAGTGGCAGCAGGACTGGTAGGAGACTGGACTCTACACTGTCTACCAGTTCTTCGCATGGTGTTTGCCGCAAAGAGCTGGGCGATAGTTCATAGCAAGGGGCGGCAAAGTTTTGATCTCCGTCTGACTGGGACGACCTGGGTAGGGTACATCGCAGGGAGTTGGGAAGTTTTCAGGATCTGACTCCAAATGTGGCAACTCCCCAGCTTGCGCGTGCGGCAAGGGTGCTTTTGAGTTCCTCGAGCGGTCGCTGGCGCTACGACTCCGCCGGACACTTTGTCTCCACATGCATAGTGTGAAAGTTCCTGGTGTTCCGTGTATGATGGACGCGGTAGAGGCTATCGCCACTTTTTGCGGCCGCCGCTTGTGGATGACCGGGCCTCAAGGTTCATGCTTGTGTATCGTGGGACAGTGGGACAGGCTTGCTGCATGCTTCTTGCCTTGTAAGTTCTCTCAGGTTGATGTGCTGGTCAACAGTGAGCCGGAGCCAGAAAAGGCCCTGAAGCGCGTCCTGCCGAAAATGAAGGTGCTCAATGTTGCCCTGTCGAAAGGTCAGGCTCCCCGAGCTGTACGAGCTCTTGTCTGGTGACATAAACCAGTTCTCACCGCCCCTAGCTGAGTTTTCAAGGGATGCGTCCCGGCAGCGCAAGCCTACTTGGATCCGTGGCCAGGCAGAACCAACCAGGAGCCACAGCTGATGTAGATGAGTCAGGCCCGGCAAGTTTATTTCGGTGCAAGATCCAACTTTTTACGTTCAGACTGCACAGGAAGCCTCACTCGGAAGCGAGGTCGGCGTAATAAATTCCAGCACTAAGTCCTTCTTGCTTGCGGTATGAGGGTTCAGCGACAGGCAAGCACGTCTACATCATGGGTCAGCGCTTTGATGCATGGGAAAACTGGACTGCGGAGTGAGCCCCTGGCGTGGAACAGTGTGAAGGCATAGGAGGTTTGTGTCAAAACGTGGCCTTGTATAGCATGAATTCTGTGTATGATGAGGAGGTTTGGGGCCTGAAAGCCTGATGCGGATAGTCTGAGTGAGTGCACTGCATCTCCAACCGGGCTTCACCACTTCGAAAAAGCTGCTCGGGCTGGCAGGTATCCGGTGCCCATCCGTCGACTCTGCGATTTCAGAGTTGCCTTTGCCACTGGTCAGCATCTTTCAGGCGAAGGCTCACCATGTCAGATGTTGCTGGGTGATACCAGATGTCCAGCGCGCCGGCGGAGAACAGAGCAGCTCCCGCCAATGCGCCGGGGAGTCAGTTTGGCCACGCTGCACCTGCGCAGTCTAAGCTACCCTGTAAACGGTTCCTAGGGCTGCAGACTCTGACTACAGAATGCTTTCAGGATTGGGATTCATGACCCTCGCCTCAGCGAAATTGATGGAAAGGCCGCATTTGCCAAATTCATGCATGCATGTCCAACATCTCCGTTTCCCTGTGCTGCTTTGATGCTGGCAGGTCATGGAACCTTGGATGGGGCCTCCCTACAGGTGTGCAGGCGGGGGAGACCCAAGCGCTGTAGGAGGACATGCTTTTGGTCGGGCTGGGCTTTCGGCTGCACCTGAAGTTTCTTGAAATTGTATCAAGTTGGAGCTATCTGGTTACTTGCTCTCAGCCCAACGGATTTTCAGTTCCAAGAGGTCAGAAGTCAGATTCGAGCCTCCGCGCGTCAATGCTCACGATGATTGTCTTGGAGCCACTATCAGTTGAAGTCGCAATCCTTGTCCTGGTCCGATGCCCTTGCTGGGATCATACAAAAGATGGCTGAAGTTTTTTTTTTGCTTGCGATTGAGGGCGAAGCGCAGCCATGCTGCAGATCAACTTTTGGAGCATTTGGACGCCTGTCATTTGGGCACCTACGTCGCCCGTAGACCCTAATCAATGGCGAAGTATGCGCATGGCAGCAGCCGCCGCAGTCGGCGCATGCCGACGGAAGTGGTGCTATTCACCTGTTCAAAGTACTGAAGTCCAATTCGTGATTGGCAACATTCCAAGGTTGATGGGAATGAGCCCCCAACAGGTGGCTCAGGTCTTTATGGATGCAGCTGCTGCTGGGGGCCCTACGAGGATTGACATGGATACAAGAGCAGGGCCTTGAGACAGAGACATTTTTGGTCATGGGTCTGTGTGCATGTATACATGTGTGTCATCTAGTTGGGAATGTGTGGCAGTCAAGCCTGAGAGTACGCGCTTGAATCTTGCAGAATCTCGCAGAGATGGCGGCTCTAAGACAAAGGAGAATGCAATGTCTATTTGCTCGACATGCTAAACTGGTGAGCCTGTTTTCAAACAATTGCTTGGACCATCATGGATCAGCCAGCAGTTGGGCGTTTCAACCCCTGCAAGCTGAGAAAAGATGGCCTTGCGCATGCTTTCGCTTCGAATGGTTGCTTAAGTGTGGAAACATTTGAATCAAGGTTATATTGGGTTGTATTAAGGTAGTGTTGGGGTAATATTGCGGTAACATTGGGGTGAGATTCCATTATCCCTATATAACTTAGTGGTGGTGTCCATTTTATTTTCCGTTATCATTGTAGGACCCCAATATACCCCAATGTTCCCACTTTTCTGACTTCACTTGCAAGCAGGTGCTGGCGATTCCTCAGGCTGGTTCCATGTTCCTTACTGGGTTCAGGGGTTTAGGGTTTAGGGGTTTAGGGGTTTAGGGTTTGGGGTTTGCGAGCGCTTTGTCGTTATATATATATATATCGGATGATAAAGGGTGGGTTATATAGGGATGCTGGACAAGAAAATGAAAACTACGTATTATGGTATGCTAGCTCAGTTGGCTATTTTTTGTGTAGCATCCAAGATAAGGAATACAGTTTTGGTTTTTCAACCAGTGACGCCGACATGATATGTAATCCCTGCTGCTTTTGACTAGTCCTTGCATAGTCCAGCATTGCCCTTTTCATGTGAGCAAGGGCTGTGAGAAACTCTGATGTCACGGTCGAATGGCTTTGCACCCTTGTCCAGGCTTCGAAGTCTTCGAAGAGTCTGAGGAGATGCGCCAGGTGAGAACAGAGTTGTCCAGGGGTGGCCATGAAGAGAACCATGTTGTAGCATGTTGCAGCCTCTTACAGCCCTATGGATGACTAACTATCCCATGAACCTGCATGTAACGAGAAAGGGAGGCAGAATTGGGACATGAGTTTGAACAAAGATGAAGCAAGCAATTTTTGCTCATCCTTGGACGCTTATCTGCTTGCGAAGGCCATGCTGAAACAGCTGACCAAGGATGGGTTGATCACCCACAGGCAGCTCTCTATCTAGGGTCTTCTGTTGCCGCTTGTCCATGGCATGACTGACTTCCGTGCAATGCGCCGCCGGCAGGGTTTTGGAGGTCCCGGTGGATGCGCACCCAGGTAATTCAGGACCCGTTTTTTTTGAACCAGGTGCTGAGTAAGAGGGCCTCCGACGTTATCCTGCTGTGTGGGGCCTCACCGCCTTTTTGTGGTGCCTGAATGTCAGGAAAGGTTCTGACACCCTGCATCTTTTTTTCCGTCTACGATGAGCTAGACTCTCAGAGCCGCACTGTTTGGCAAGGGCTAGCTGTGCCTTGGATCCTTTTCTGAAAAGTGAGAAGCGTAAGACCTTTCGAAGTTAGTCATCGACGCTGTCCAGGCGAAACATTTGGTCTGCGGACGGCAAAGCATATAAGACCTGCCCTTAGACCGACTTGTCTTGGCATGCGTACGCTTGCTTGTGGGCCTGGAGAGTGTTGAGCTTCTGTATTTGAGAAGACAACGGATGCTCTGTTGGGTTGAAGCGCTGCTAGTGGCACAGGGCGGAAGCGACCGTGCCAACGCTGGATGATGCAACCCTCCTACCTGAGGCCCGGGTCAGCAATGTGTTAGGCATTCTATTGAAATTGCCTGAGGATGTGCAGAGGTTTGCTAGTCTGCTACTGTTTGCTGCTGCTTTCAGGCAGCTGCTGAAGCTGAGGAAAAGCCCAAGGCCGATCTGCGCTGCAGCGATCTTCCGGGATCTTCAGGGATTTGCTCGAGAGACCAAAGGTGCAACCAATTTGTCCGCCAGGTAAACAGTGAGAAACTGCTTCCACCATGGAGCCCACTCATGGATTCTGCTGTGCCGTCCTCATAGAGCTGGGACTTCGTAGCTGCTGTCACTGAACACATGATGTATAGTAGAGCTCGTGGAGATCGCCAACGTCTCATGACCGAATTGCTGGGTCAGTCTTGTGAAGAGATGCTGAATGCTCTTGCAGGCCATGTCCACACATCACCTGCTCGATCTGACTGCTGTGGCAGCTTTCTGAGCGGCAAATTTCTTGGGGCCTGGTGCTGCTACCACGGGCAGCCTAATGCGGCTTTGTGATTGTGCGCATTCAGGTGACCAAGCACATGCATGCCTCACCGCCGCACGGAAGCTTCAACGCGCTGTTGAGGCAGGAGCTGGCATTCTTCAAGGCAGTTCTTGTGAAGCAACTTGAAGCTGGGTGTGAGGGCAGACTTGCGGCAGACCCCCGGGGAGCTCCAGGGCAAGCCGTTCCAGTGCGGTGCTCGGTCGCTGCTGGACTTTGAGTAACCTGCCACATTCACGCTCCAGGTCCTACGTCATGCTGAGCGCTTCCGTTGAAGCGCCGTGCCCGTCATTTGTAACGCGCCGTCTGCGGCTTCTTCGTGCCAGGGGCCAAGATGTGTGCAGGCAGCCATGCCCCCTTCCCGGAATTGATGTAAAATGGGGGAGTGATGTGGAAGATGAAAGCTGAGATCTGCGTTGCAAGGGCAGACTTTTTGTTGTCTTCTCTAAGCATGCCTTGTGACAGTAGACTCTGCGCAGCCACACGTCTCTGAAATGGTTGCTCGCCCTTATGGTGGTTGAGCCTGGGGCCCCGCGGCCTGGTGCCTTGGTCGCATGCGAGACTCAATGGTGGTGGCCAGGCTCTGCTTACAGTGGGCTTACAGTGGGCTTACAGCCTTCATCCATGCGAACCGTATAGATCTGCGTAGACGTGGTCAGCCAAGGTTGAACTTGGCTGCATCTGCCAAATCCGGAGCTAGAACTATGGCACCACAATTAGCTCAGCATGGGATGTCTCGCAACACATCACATTCACTCAGCAGTTGTTAGTGGCGTTAGTGAGCCATGCTGGATTAAGTTTTTCTCAGGAACTGCTGCAGCTTGTACGAAGCATGGATGCTGCTGCGCACTTAGCGATCAACGTCGACTTGTGCCAGAGGTCTTTCCCAGACACAATTTCCCCCTCACTACTCAAAGACAGAAAGTCATCCAAAAATGATCCTAATAGCAGAACGGTCAGATTTACTTTCATCATAGTTTGTACTGTTTCTTTTGAATTGTTGTCTTTGGCGTGCATGGCCCGTCCCGAGGATGTGCGCTGCCAAGTCGAGGGGATGTTTAGGTCCACCTTGGCAGATCCAAACGGCCTCCTCGTGCGAGAAAGCCCCTTGCCAGTACCTGTCAGATCCTTCTGACTGTGCGCCCGAACTGTGGACTTTGAGGGTGTAGGTGTGTGTTGGTACTGCCTTAGCACTCTAAACTTTTCTCCAGGCTGCGTCGAGTTCCTTCTCTCGATTGGTGGCACCTTAGAGGAGGCGAATGCGCTGCTCAGAGAGTGTGACCGGGGCCGAGAGGACACGCACATTAGCCTGAGGCTCGGTGTTTAACATGTCACATTGCTACAATAGTTGACAGCTCCTCCCTTAAGATCTTACACGTGAGCCTTTTGAAATCCAAGGTGTCACAAACTTCTTGGATGTTCTCTGTGGTCCCGTCGGGTCACCCGCTGTTGCGAGCGGACGAGCACAGGAGGACATGTCTCAGATGTCAGGGGAACCTAGCACAGTCACCACGTGCTGCATTTCATTTCATGCGAGGACTCTGCTGAGCAGCCTCCGCCATCTTCAGAGGCGCCAACTGTAACAGTCTGTAGTTGCCAAGCAAGTAAAACCGCTGGGCACGCCGGCAATGAAGCTACCGATTGCCCACGAATGTCTTTGTCTTGCTTCACAAGCTCATGCAATCTGCCTGCGCATGGAGTGTAGGCCACCGCGGTAGACGCGGATGCAGCGAGAGCGCCCATGGCTAAGCTTGTGTTTGTGTTGGCACTTTGCTGCCACGTGCTTTTGGATGTCATGCATTTGACCAAGGACCGAAGCAGCGGCCAAGGAGCCACCATTAGTACAAACACCAAAGGTGCAGAGTGCTCCAGAAAGAATAGACGAGAAGCCTCAGATCAAGGAGTCTGAGGCAGGGCCTGGGATCCAACTGATGTTCAACAAAACATACATCGGTGCACACCATGAGGTAGTCAAGGAAGTCAAAGAATTAGAAGTGGACGAGCCTCCCAGTAGTGGGCAGAAAGATGTTGCCCCAGAGGACCCTGACAGATGCCATGTGAGCTATAGTCTAAACTGCTAGTATCAATTTTAATACCCCCATCATACTCCCCTATATAACCCCCTCTAAGGAGTTTAGACTATAGCTCATGTTTCATTGAGGTCTGCAGTTAGCAGAGAGATTGTTGTTGCAGTTTTTCTGCTGTGCAGGAGCAGCCCGCTAAGCCCAGCCCCGAAGAAGGGACGGGCGAGGAAGAAGCAAAGCTAGACAAGGCAACCTCATGTGGCATCCTGTGACCATAAATCTTCCTGTGGGATGCTTTTGTCGTTTCGTCTCCCCAGGAAGATCCAAACTTAACCACTACGGCAACTACGGCCTCTGCAGAAGGAATGCAGGACGTCGAGACTTGCTCTCACTGCTCCTCACCGCCATCGTCTGTATGCATATTGCATGCACCGGACTTCAGGAGGATGAGTCCACGACGACCTTGCCAACGCCCGCAGAGGAAGTAGTCAGAATGTGCGATGCTTCTTGTTTGCAATCCTTCGGAAGCCTCCAGCTCTGGGTAAGGCACCGTGTGGCCTTTGGGGATTGCAAAAACGCAAGGCGTTCCTTTTGATAGTCACTGTGTAATTCCTCCCTTTCTTTGGGCCAAGGCTTGCAACGCCAAAGGAGTTGAGCTGACCCAGGACCCCACAGACCTTGGGTGGTACTGTGAGTCGTTCCCGAGCTCAAGTTAAACTTAAGATCTTTGTGTAGATCACCCCACAGAGCAGCACGAAAATTATGCTGCAGGGACCCCCGAAAGAGGTGCTGGATCAGCTACTATGGAGCACCGCCTTCTGCTGACGGGTGGCCTGGAAGATTCCTTTTAGGCAGTTCTCATGCGGGCGCGCTATGCTTGATGTCTCGCTTGCGAACAAGGTTTATGTTTCTGCAGTGCAACCGCCTCGTGAAAGTCAAGGAGGGCAAGAGGTGGAAGGAGATGGACCTGCTGCAGGTGGGCCAGAACACTAGAATCTGTACAATCCTTGAGAAACCCCGTATGAAAGTCCCTGAGGTGTGTCTTGAGGTTGTCAGCCTAAGGCCTGGAATGCTCATCCAATTCCACGATGGCCACCGAGAATGCCACCTTGTGGACCTGTGTCCGCTGACGGTACCCAGATGGCAAAGTAGATGTCAATAGTGCTCACATGAGAAATGAGAGGTATCCATCTTTTCATGTTCTCCGTAGCATCAGGGAGAATTGCCGTCCTCCAGGTGACCCAACAAACATCGGTGATGCTTGGGACAGAGCCTCAGGAGGAAGCCAGCCCTGTTCTCACACACTTTGCAAAGAATGAAGTACGCCAGTTTGACATACAGAAAAGAGGGTGCCTCATGCAACAAAATATTCTGACAACAGATGCTCTTGGATGTAGATTGCATTGAAGGTAGCCTCAAGTTGTGCGAATGTCATCTGAGCTCCGTGCAAGTACGATTGCTTAAATTAGGAAATGAGACGAATGACTAAAAGGCATGTTCAGGAAACAGAAAATCCCTCTGTTACCTGCGGCAGTGAGGTCCCCGTCCACGTGCACGTGAATCCTGGCTTGGTGGGACAGTGGGCTCGCCAATGCACGCGAGAGTATCGGCCATATCCTGGAGAGGTGATGCGCAAGAGGCTGGGGCTTGAACTGGCTTATGAGATGGCCAGGAGTTGGTAGAAAGTAGAGTTGGTGGGCCTGAGAGCTGGCCAGGTACAGAATTGAGCACGCCATCGGTGCGGGGCACTTCACGCGCGCTTATCTTGCGACCGATGTGGAAACAAACCAGAAGGCAGCAAGCTGAGACTGTATGTCTGGGCAGCAGTTCTTGCTGCTGCATCATCATGTTGCTGTTAAGTCAGCACCACACAACCCATATGTGCAAGGAGTCTTTGTCAGTCGGATAGTGAAAGAGACAGGCTGCACTTGCGAGTTCAAGGTATGAGGAATGTATACACCTACAATCAAACTCGCATGCAAGCTTTTGTAGCAGGAATACATGTTGGAAGACATATCTTTGTTTCACTGTAGATGGAGACCTCGGGCACTCCTTCCCATTCCATCCCATACCGTTCAGGTAACCGTTCTAGGTTTGTCTTCGCTCACAGAGGATCGACCTTGCATGGAAAAGTTTTGTCCTGTTGGTTCGATATTTCCTGGTCCCAGTGAAGTGTCTCCTTTTTGGGAGTTCTGGGTTCACCAACTCGGACAAGTGACGTGTGTCTGCACAAGAATCGTGTAGTCCGGGGTTTTCCTTGGGCCCAGGTAGGCTGGAAGTTGGCTAAGCCTGTGCAGGTTTGCATAAAGCGCCACAATGGTCTGACCGTCGAGCTGCTGACGGACGCGTGTACATTGACCACCATGGGCTCATAGTTTTACATGACATTCCTGGTGCTATTGAACTACCGTCAAGAGACTGGTGCCGCTCCTGAGTAGTCCGCGTTAAGTGATTCTTGTTGCATCCAGCTGCGGAGGACCTGCTAACGATTGGGCGGCGCATTGAGTCTGTTGACCCTGAGTTTAAATGCTTTTCCAGGCAGGGTGCTGCTGCATGCCTTGGACTCCCATGTTGCGTGTTGCCCTCCTTTCCGCATAGAGTCCGTGATGTCAGTGTAATGGGGGATGTGTGGAATTCTGCATATGAAGCCCCCTAACAAAAAGGGGTTTTCAAATTGACAGGGGTCCACCAAACTTGGGGACAAGTTGTTTAGGTGCAAATTTTTGCGGGTATGAGAATTTCAGTTGAGAGATTATTTTGTTCCTGCGTTGTTGCTAGTTCGTCTGTTACAAGAGTTCGCTCCATTCCAACCGCTTTTCCTTATTCCGTTTGGGCAACAGTTTGCTCCATCCCGTCCCTTTTCAGAATTGAAACCGCTTGCTACAGTTACAGCACAGAACCTTGCTGCGATAGGCTGGTCGAGGCCTTTTTTGATATGGCCTGGGTCTCAGATCACCGATGCAGTCCATGCCAGCTAGTCTTGTTGAAGATCGGTCATGTTTGTCTGAGGTGGGCTACACCGTAGAGACGCTGTTTGAGGGGCGGAACTGCACAGAATCCCGGTCTGTATGGCACGCTTTCTTGTTTGAGGAGTTCTGTTGACTGATTGTGGTTGTCTGCCAGCTTGCCAAGCGCACAGCCGTGGTCAGGAAATTTGCCGGACCAACCCCATGCATTTCAAGAATCTGGACAATCTTCGGGTTGTTGCTGTCGGATGTCTGCGCGGACTGAAGCTTCTGGCAGAAGCTGGTGTTGTGCACTGTGACATGAAGGCCGGGACTTTTGCGAGGTTCGCTAGCATGGCCTTACTTCTTCTCTCTAAGTTGCTTGAATTTTGGCTTCCTGCGTTGTATGTCCAGATTGCATCTGCAGGCAGACAACTTCATGTGGACAAAGACAGACGATGGAGAACCAACGGTCCGACTGGTTGACTTCGGTGTTGCCCTTGGCTGACTTCAACGCCCAGTCTTCCGACAGATTTTTCCTCTTACATGCAGTGTGCCTTTCCAACTGAAGGTTGTTCTCGTCTGGACAGCCGTCTAGAGAGCGGACGCAACTGGAGTTTTGCGGAGGGCGGCGCAGGTCTGGATCTGAAATGGTTTCCGGCTGCCATCGTGTCTGAAATTTGAGCTGTGCCGCAGAGCTGACAGAGCATCTCGTGTGCAGGCCACATCGGGAAGTGGGCACCCGAAATGATGCTGCGGATACCCATCACAGACAAGGCTGATGTTTGGGGACATGCAGTTGCCTTGCTGGAGCTCTACTGCGGGCGCCACTCGGCTTCTGCATGCCAGCCCATGTCGTAAAGATCTTGCAACTTGTCTCGCCATTCTTCTGAACACGTGCTGAGGTAACATGTGGAACGAAGAGGAGGACACCGTGCCCTGCAGGAATAGCTCAGTTTGCATGTCAGATGCATGAATTCTAGAGCATCCTAAGCAGAACCTGTCTATGATCCTATGCTTCTTTTGTCAGCAGCTTTTTCCCGTGATACCCCAACTACCCCCCATATAATGATATCCTGTAGTACTATAGTATACTATAATAGGGTGTAATATTCTATTATACTGTAATATACTATGGTATATTATATCCCCAGGTGGAGTACATGTTGGCGCAAGCGCTCGGCCTCGTGAACTGCAAGAGTGGCCTGCCCGAGAAGCTTCTTCGGCGAAGCCCACTTGACATCAGTTTCCTGGCCCTACGGTGGATACCAGGGGAATTATGGAAAAGAAAATGGAAACTACTAAATTATGTAGGGATTACATTGGGGGTTATGTAGGGATAGTGGAAAAGAAAATGGAAACTACTATTTAGAATTATAGGGGTTATATATGAGTTATGTAGGGTTATATAGGGATTTAGGGTTTAGGGTTTAGCTCCGAGCTGTCCTGAACCCTTAGAATTATGTTTGCTGTTATTCCAACGGTTCCCAGTATTCTTACTTTAGCCAGTTGCGAGACTCCTGGTAGCTAATTAGCACTGGCAGGGAAGCAGACATGACAGCAGATGGCAAGCAAGCTGGTCTTGTCAGGGCAGCTGTACACGCCCTCTCCAGCATACTTTCCTGTTCAACGCCTTGGCGTAGCACCCAACATTACCTTCAAGGACATCTGGGAGGCGGTGCATTTGTGTTTGTTTTGACTGCAGAGTTTTCAAGGTTCCCTTCAGTCGCGGTTTCGATCTGTTCTTTAACCAAAGGCAAGCTGAGTGATTCATCCTGCCTCGCACTGTCACAAGGTTGCGAGACATTTGGAAAATGACAAGTGATGATACGCAGCAGAATGTTATTTGGTTATAGTTCTTTTTGTTTTTGACTTCTTGGATTTCTGGCTTCTCGGCTTCCTCGGCCTCTGTAGTAGGAGCAGTAGTATTAGTAGTAGTGGTACAGTAAGGGAGTGTTATGCAGATCATTTTGTTTGTAAATGGGGGGGGGCTGCGGCGCCCCCTACTCTACCTCCCGAACCCCTCTCGGCTTTCTTAAGGCCAGCCATGCTCGCCATTGTTCATAGTTTTACATCATGGCATGACTCTCCATGATGTTTCATCATATTTCATCATTTCTGATCATCTTTCAGCAATTTCCATGTGCTTCATGTATTATCATGTCTCATCAAAATTTCCAGCAGTTTGCATGTTTGCAGTGAGGGAAGATGATGCGCATCATGTTCTTTGCAAGCAAGGGGGGCGGCGCCTGTAACAAAAAAGCATCATGTCATCAGTAACAGAAAGTATGCAGATCATTTTGTTTGCGAAGGGGGGGCGCTGCGTCCCCCCCAACCGCCCCGCCTTTGTTAAGGCCATCCATGCTTGCTATTGTCATCGCTTCAATCATCTCAATACTTTGCATGATCCCAACCCCCATTTTTTTTTGTGAGATGCCGCCCAAGCTTGCTGTAAAAGCATCATGTCATCAGCAAGGGCGTGTTATGCAGATCATGTTGCTTGCAAATAGGGGGGGGCTGCGCCCACCCCCCCCACCTTTTTTTTATGCCATCCATGATTCATTTGAATTTCATCATTCTCACATTTTGCCATCATTTTCATCACTTTTCATACTTTTCAGGATTGATTCATGATTTTTCATCATTTCCATGATTCATTTTCCATCATTTTTATGATTGAAGCATCATTTTTCATCATTTTATTCATGTTTCATGAGATTTCATCAGCGTCTTCATCATTTCGCATGTTTTTTCCATCATTTATCATCATTTTCCTTGTAGTTGTTTCATCCTTTTTCATCATTCTCAATGATTTTCATCATTGTCATGATTTTCATCATCATAGTCATGATTGATTCATCATTTTCATAATTTCCATAATCTTTCATAATTTTTCATGAAGTTGTTTCATCCTTTTTGTGCTATTGTTAGTAGTTGTTTTTCATAATTTTCATGATTTTCCATCATTCTTCCTGATTGATTCATCATGTTTCATCATTTTCCATCATTCTCATGATTTTCTATATTTTTTCCATCATTTTCATGCTTGATTCATCACTTCCTTTTCATCATTTCCATCATGTCATCATTTTCATCGTGTTTCATGATTGTCATGATTTTTCATCGTTTTCCATTATTTTCATTGTTTTCCAAGATTTTTTTAAATAATTTTGCACACCTTTTGAAACTCCAAGAGGGTCGAGGGTATCAAAGCAACGACAGTTACGAGGGTCGTGACCCCGATCCCTTACGATCCCTGTGACTGCTGACACTTTTTTCAACCCCGACCCCGCAATCCCTGTGACCCTTGAGAAAGAACACGAAGACAAACACACCACCCCAAAGAAAGCAACAAATCTTAAATTAGTTTCGTAGCCCTTGGCTTCTGGTCAGTCTATATAGGTTTTCTTGGAAACATTGATGAGTGTGTGTCCAGTTAGGTGGATCATAGAAGAAAATTTTACTATAGATCAGTGGTTGCCCTGCGAGGAGCTTCGACCGGCGACCTGGGGTCTCTCCTGCGTACTCGGCGATGAGTCCAACTGGGATGAGATGAAGACCGGGCTCTGGCATGTTGCTTCATGGTTGTGTCCTCCAGTAAAAGGCAATTAGGTGTTAAAGCAGAAAACCAGTTGCCCGTGTAGCAACCTGCAGGATCGCGCTGGCAAACTACGTCTGCACAGCCATGAGCCTGGATGCTTGACAGCAGCTCAAGCTGGGGCACTGGAGCCCACTGTACAAGCTGAAGGTTTCAATGTCTCCTACGTTGCTAGATAAACCCCACCTGCGGCTTGTGTGTCAACGGATTATGATTATTCAATGCATTGTTAGGCCGGGTACCTGGCTGCACTGCTGCATAAGGATCCGGATGACCGACCGTCTGCTGTGGATCTGCAACCTAGTTGCATCATTTCTTTTGATCTGACCAAAGCTGTAAGCTTTCGATATATAGGGGTAAACAGGGGTCATATAGGGATTACATAGGTTTATATAGGGCTAGGGATGATGGACAAGAAAATGGAAACTACTGGGATTACAGGGGATATATAGAGTGGCTCCATTGTCCCAGGATGTCACACAAGTTTGCTGGCATGGAAGCGGAAGCTGCCACTGCAGAACTATCTCCTTGAAGGCTCGTTTTTATCCATGCTTTTGCTGTACTGCTGTTGATGGATGAAATCTTGCACCACCTAAGGGCCCTAAACTACTACAATTCCCAGGACTTTAAGGACTTAAGGTGGTGCAAGATTTCCTCCATCGACAGTGTGTCTTGCGCCAGCTGCCCTCCCACTTTCATGGATTCTTTTTGAAAGACACGGAGTTGTCCAAGATAAAAGTAAGTGTCGTGGACCATCAGGCAAGCCGAATGGACGCTTTCAACTTCGAGTTCCGATGCAAAGCATCTCTGAGTCTTGGCAAGGTGTTACACGTGGAGGGCGCCTTCCGCAAAGGGCAAGGTTGCCGAAGCCAAGAGTGTCCAATTTCCTCTGCTTCCCTGTCTCATGTTACCCAACGCCACTTCCATGGGACAATTGGAGATTCTTGGCCTGTGCGAAATGTTTCCGCGACGCAAGCAGTTCTGTTAAGAGCAGCAGGGTTTGCACGCCGTTTCACCCGTCCTGGAACTCTCCAGTGATTATTCTTGCTGGTTGAACGCTGAAGCTCGCTTGGCCCGAAGCCAGCTCAAGCATGGAAAGGTGAGAAGGGTCCAGCGGGCTTCAGGGTGTCGAGCGGTTGCCGCTCCCAGCCAAAAGACAAAAGCCTGAACTGTTGTCGTGACTCAGATCATGGGAATGCATCGCATGCAAGTTTTGCTTCGCAGTGGCTAGTTGAAAGAGCAGTTCGTCCAGTGCTGGTCCAGGCTGGCTTGTTGGCTGTTCAAAATGATTTCTAAGCTTCAGCTGTGGGACAGCATGCCAGCCGCAGGCATTGGACTTTTCCGGTCTTTCCATTTCACCGATCCTTCAGAACTGAAGGTAGCCTCGTTCAATCGAACGTGCATTCTTCTGGGATGGCCTGCTTTTTCTTCGTGAGGTGCAGCGAAGGCTCACCCTAAGGCTTATGGCAAGAGGTTTTGCTGGCTTTTCGCTGCAGTTCTGCTGTTTAGCTACCCTGCACTCATAGCGATCTAGGGAGTTCTATGTGGCGAATTTGCCTACCTCTAGCTTTTAAATATCTTGCCTGTGGATGACCACACAGCTGCAGAGCGAAGTGATGCGGGCTTTAGACCAAAACTCGCGCCTTACTCTGCTCCAGCTTGACATAGCCCAGCTGGCTGTTCAACTTCATAAAACCTGGTCATATCTTTCGAGTCTTCTTCATCAATACAGTTTCAGCTGCAAGGCCCTTCACAGCCTTTGGAAGGCCAAGGCTATCCGACTATCCAGCCTTGTTTCTGCCCTGCCGCTTCACGCTTGACAGTTTGGGCAGAGGGTTGTAGGTTGATGTAGCGAGAACTCTATTATTTGTGGCGGCTATGCACCGCCCGGGGATTCGTCAGTCTCTCAAAGCAACATCTGCAACCCTTCAGCGGGACTTCCCATCTCCTAAAACCCTATGCCTATGTATCTCTAGGATTCAACAGAGTATCCCTATCTCTAGAAGTTGCTGCGTGGCGGATTTCGCTTAATCGTTGTACCGCTGGTCTAATGCTTGGATTCCTACTACACGCGGGGCTGCCATACCGCTTGCCCTCATCTTGGTAAATGCATTTGGACAAACTCCCAGACCCTAAGCTGCATCCTGTTCATCCAATCGAAAGAGCGCTACAGTAGTTGGGGCAACCCTCTTGTAATTTAGGCAAACTGCTCATGCTCTGCGTCAGACTGGTGGCGATGATTTCTTCAGCTCCGAAGACGCTGCGGTGGGCACACTGTGGCAGTGTAGTCTCCAGTAGTTCCATGAGTACTAAAGTTATTAGTATGGGGAGTGTTGCTATGTCTGTGATCTTCATTGACACTCCCAGTTGCCATCATGATTTTCTGGCTTCAAGATGACGTTCTGTTGTTGTCGCGGGTCACTGCTAGCACTGGGCTCTGCATGCAGAAGGCCGCAGAGGAGGATCCTGACCAGGCAGTCCCCGCAGAACTCAGAGTCCAGCGTCTGATGTAGCTTAAGGGACAGTGCTTCTTTCTTGTTCTGAGACAATGGGGATACCTCTGTTCCTATGTCGGAGATGACATGTTCTTCAAGAGTATGCAAACTTCTCACCAGCATGCCTCTCTTGGGCTTGAGGCTGTTGGGGAGAAGAGTGAACCTTGGCTGTTTCGGGACTGTTTGGCCAGGATGCCGGAGCCACATCACCCAAAGGAAGGTGGAAGCGTCCGGAGGCCGCGGGTTGTCAGGTTTCGATAGGAAAAGCTCACTATCACTTGCAGCTTCAAGCCATGTTGGCGGATGTTCGTGATGTGGCGGTCAGATCATGGACCGTCTGCTGGAGCTGGCAGACTGCCTGGAGCGAACCTTGGGCGAAGCCCAAGGCCAGCTGCGCCGCCCGCAGCTTCGTCATCCTTTTCGTCAGCTTCCTTGGCCTCAATTGCAAATCTGCTGCAAGCGGTCTACCCAGGTTCCTTCTCTCTGCTCCAGATCTTCTAGAGGCCGCAGTAATTGGTTGGCGGTGACCATGCGCTTGCATTTCATTGCCCATAACGTCAGGATCTGTGCGCCTATGTCTTCCTAACCTTTGCGTGGCCAAAGATATGCTACATGCAGGCACAGCGTTTTGCTGTGGCATTTGGCTGCAGAGAGTTTACTAGGTGTGCTCTCTCCGTTTCGGGACAGGATATTACTCAGCAGCATGAGCTGAAGGAGCGTGTGCTGCTGTCATGTTGGCAGAAACATCTGCAGGTCGGGGGCCGGCATCGGTCTGAGTATGCTGGGAGCTAGTACAGTCTTCAGTATCGAGTAATCGAGTAAAGTTATGTCTTCTGTTGGGTATAATACCCTTGATGAAGAATATAATCTTACCTCGTTTAACCACCAAAGAAACGTGTCTCATCTGGCATGAGACTAATCTTACCTTGCACGAAAATGTTTACCAAAGAAATGCTTGGCACGAGACATGGCAGGTGCTCCATGAGAGGGAAAAGAATGACATTTCGGAGTGGTCCCATGTGTTACGAAGGCTGAAGCTTTCCAGCCTGAGCATCGTGACACGCCCTGCATGGATGGCCTGAAACAGAATGGGAATCTTTTGCAGACACTTCCTGTCGTCAGGGTGCTGCCATTTTTGCTGCGCACCCTCGAAAAGGCAGGAAGCAGAAGCCAAGAAGGGAATATTGTATACATGGCATGGGCAGGTTCAGACCGTCGACGCACTGACTTTGGGAAGTGCAGGCTATGCATTGGCCCAGCTATTTCTTCAGGACATTTTTGTTTCTGGCTTTGACGTCAGTGTCGCGCCTGGAATGGTTTCAGCTTGGTTGTGCTGGACTTGTCTTCATCTTCCAACCTAGTATCACAGGTTTGGAGATCTGATCAAAGTGAGCCGCAGGAGAGCGACTCCCGCAGTGCCCAGAAGGAGCTGGGCTCCGGCCCAAGATCCAGTGTGTCTGAAAAGGTGGGTATGACCTTGGACGTGACAAAAAACCTATGTCGATCATCTGTGAGGCTGTGCAATAATCCGGTTGGAGCGTGAGCTCGGGAAGGTGGCCACAGCTGGTCCACAAGCAAGGCACATCTCCGTGGGGCCACATCAAAGCACACGCACGACCTCGCTGCATAGCAGGTTAGATGTGCAGACGGCTGGGGCAGTGCCACGACCTTGGTAAATTGCTTTTAATGCCTGGGCGTTGGATCCTGAGCCGGTCCGAGCCGTTCAGGTCCTTCGATCCGCCGTCCCTGCGCCCACCGGGCTTCGCGCTGTTCAGCAAGGCCCTCGCGAGCGCAGTGGAACAAGGAGCGCTGGTGCTGTGGTTGTGGAATGTTGTGGATGTTGTAGCATCTTTGGTGGAGTCTTATCCAGGAGCCCAAGATGCCGAAGAGACTTGCTCACAGCTTCTTGCGACCTGAAGCTCCATTCAGTCTCCTGTATCTCCAAGCACAAGCGGTGCTGAGGCCAGAGAGGCCAAAGACGCCTGGCAGCCCGGCGAGCCGGAAGGTGGGAAGCGACAAGTTTTGGGGGGCCCTGACACAGCTTTTTGACCTCTGAAGGAGGAGCTAAGTCCCCGTGGCACTGTGATAGATGCTGATGACGCAGCCTTACATGGCGTTTCTGGCGTATATTCGCCTGAGCTGAACATACACTGAGGCCACCATGATTCTGAAGGGGCTGCCACGCTTGCAGCAGGCAGGGCAGCCTTTCCAAGTGTTGCGCGTCGATAGATGTTTTTTCGAGGATCGACTTTGTTTGCTGGGTCGCCTGTATGATCGCTGGATTGAGTGCTCGCAGCAACCTCAGAATACCGCAGTTGCACAGAACTTGCGCTTCCCAGCTCTTCCTGTGCAAGGCTGGTGGTCCACTTGCGCAGTCCGGATGCGCCGGTTCGCAGGAAGATCCTCGCCAGCAAAATTCGCTTGAAAGCTCGGACTTGCTTCCCATACCTATCTGCTTCTCTGCTCCTAAGGTTGCGTCCAAACGAGGTGCGTGATGAGGAGCCCATACAGGTGGCAGGAGAAACCAGCTCCACGCGGCCGCTTGGATTGCAGGGATTTGCTGACATCATTGGGCCACACATTAGGTGCCCATGGATCCCTTGCCAGGCTCCTTGTATGCATTCCGGATTTTTGCACGCCCGAGGCTAGCCATGAGCTCTCAGGAGGCCAGTGTCCTGGGTCGACTTGGCCACAGCCCCATCTACCGCATGCAGCATGTGGTACTGTGGTACCCTCTTGCACTGGGGGGCTTGCGAGGTGAGAATCCCTATCTCAGATGCCTCTTCTTTGTTTCCGTTGCAACACGAAGGCACGGAGATCCCTTTTTGGGAGTTTCGAATTTGTTGGAATTAGGATACCCGCAGGATTCCTGTCATATCTCAACAAGGAACCCACACTTCAAAGGAATCCTCCTTGCCTATTTGAATGTTGCCGCTGTTTTGATGTGGTTGTGGCAAGGCCTGAAGTGGCAAGCGCAGCTCTGGGCAAGGCTGGCCGGTACGTTGGAACGGACGCGGGTACATGAAAGTTTTTCGAACAACACTTCTTTGATCCTTAAAAATAACGCCAAAGAAATATTATGAGCCTGAATTTGATAAGCTCCCCAAAGAACTCTCGCCCTTGCTTGTCGACTCTGTTTAAACTGATGCCATGGAGTCGGTATACCGCTGGATGCTCCGCAGGCTGTGATGGAAGCAGACTTGGCGGCTTCCCAGGACTGGGGACTTGCTGGGGGCCATTGCATCGACATTTTTTTGCAGCTTAGTTCCCGAACCTTGAGGAGAGAAATCTTTGGGCTCAGCAGGAGCAAGAGCTTCTACGGCAGCTGCTTCCTCAAGACCTCCACACCAAGTCACCATATAGAAGAATCTCAAGAGATGCTTCGCAGATGTGGCTCTTTCCACATCTGAAGGCAACTGGGCGTCCGAAATAACGAGCAATTCTGCAAGGAGCCCCTTAAGCAGACCGCTGTCTGGTTGTTCTCAGTTGTGATGACGATGAAACCCCAGGAGTTTCGGAGGGCGGGGCGAATGCAACGCAAGCCGCGCGCGTTTGCTGCTGAGAGTGTCACATCTTACAGTTGTTTCCCGGCCCTTATGTGCACTCTGCATTATTCCGCTGTCTTTCGATTGTGAAGGCATCTCCCAGTCGTGGTGGCTCGAATGCCAGGCTGCGTTGGTTGCGGCAAAACAGGGATTCTAGCGGTGAGTTGTAGACCGCAAACGTTTCTGTTTACATCAGAGCTCTTTACTGGGACGGTGAATGCTGCGACAGTTGCAGGCTGCGTTCAGCTACGGCTTCCGCCTTTAATGGGAGGGCTGCCACCGCAGAGACCTCAGATTTCCTGTAGAGATTTGCAGAGGCTTAGGCTATCAGGACCTTAGGATGTCAACTCGGTGAATTGAAAAGCAGCAGCAGCAGTGATTCACCTTCCAACCGGGTCGCAAGTTCGTAAGTGTAGCCAGAGCTGCTCATGCCAAACGAGCGAAGGCCTCTTGTGCCCATTTCGCACGACCTCAACCCGCCACCGCAGGCTTCGCCTCAGCTACGCAACCCTTTCAGTGTCAGGGGCTCTGAAGCATTTGACGCGGCAGGAGTACAGAGAAGCCATCCATTCCAAGCGGCTGGGGATGCACTCGCCATCGCAGATCTCCATGACCTGCCGGGATCTGAAAACTTGGCAGCTGCGAGTCCTTCCTTGACATGCTGTGTGTCTGCAGGCACAATATTTGGAAAGTCGGCGGGTGTGGGGACAGCCGTGTCAGAGATGCACAAAGACCTTCATGGGACAGGCATCCCAGGTGTTTTGATGTTATCTACAAGCCTGCCTTCACGTTTGGTGCAGGCTTCCGTCATCCTGGCCTTGAGATGGTGGAGGTCACGGGCCTGAAGCCGAACACCAACTATTGCTTCGCAACCATGTGCCCCACGATTCGAGCTTCAGCATCTTCAGCCTCCTCGAAGTGATGTTGTGTGTTGTGGCATGTTGTGGCAGCTGCAGGTACTTTGAGGGCTTTGAGGCCGACGGACTTCAGTTGGACAACCCTCCACACCCGTGTTTTGTATCCTTGCGAGCCAGCCGTGAATGTAGCAGCTCCCAAGATTGTTGGTGCACCAGAAGTTGAGACTGGGAGACCCGGAGGGATGTTACCAAACCTGGCTCAAACCAGGCTAAGATCAGTTTCCTTTGCTGAGTAATGGTAGAGCAAGCCTCGAAGTTTGCGAGATATAAGTGCAGGCAAAGTTACTGCTTGCGTGACGGTTACTGATTTATGTGCTTTGAGCATCTTTGTGCTCCAGAGTCAGCAGCTGTAACACACATCTACGCTAGAATCGACGAGGCAACCCGAGCCGCATTGTCATCAGTCAGTGCAACAAGTCCGTAGAGCTCTTGGCAGACTTGTGCAGATGTCACTTGGGTTGGAAGAACACATCCTGAGGCCCATTGGGTCCTACTACCCACTGTCGATTGCAATGCTAAGAATCAAAATCTGCAAGGCCGGGCTTCTCTGAGTCGATGCCTTGATGCCTGATGCGGACAATGGACGTGATGTGCACACGAGGCCGCGTTGGCTGCAGGCGACATGGGCGCACAAGCTTGGTCTCTCTCTAAGCTTATAAGAGTCTTGCAAGAAGAGCGCAATGTTGCGCAGCGAGCGCATCGGTGGGTCTGAGGAAGAAAGCCTGGATACCTCTCTTCGACTCCTTTTGTGAGCGATGTGCTCCGGATGAGGATTTTGTTTTGCATTTCTGCAAACAATCCTGGAGAGCTTGAGCAACCGCTGATGCGTTTGATAGGAGTTAGACTCATATGGCCTCCGTGCATTCAAGCAAGATGCTTAGGTAACACACATGTAATACTTGGGCAAGAGCCAACTTGCTGTCAGTTCAGGCTACGCCTTGATGTGGCCGCTGAGCCCGGACTGGAACCAGTTGCCTGTCAGAGCACCGGAAACACTTCTCCCTTGCAATCAGAGGTTGATCGCTTTCCACCGGCGATCTTGGCTGCATTTTCGGAAGTGGTGGTGCGCCCAGTCATTTGGAATGGTGACAATTTATTGCGCAGGGACTCTTAAGCTGACGTATTCCTGAGACGGGACGGAGCAAGCTAAAGGCATATTTGTGCTCTATCGCTGCTCAACATGTCCCTAGGTTCTTCTGCGCCATAGCCTTAGCGCGCAAGCTGCGCACTCAGAGTCTGCCAGCATGACCAATTTCTGCGTGCATGTTGTCAAGACGTGGAGTGCCAAGGCGGCTACAGCAGGGAAAGGTGCTGCATTCCCGCTGCCTGGATGCACTGACTTCTTTCACACAATACCTTGAGCCACCAATCAACTGGATGACTTCCTTATTCGGCGTTTGCTTGCGGAACTCTGCGAGGTGCACAAAACCTTTGCAGAGGGTCACAGCCCTGGAAGTATGAACAACCTGGTGTAGCCTGCTGGATGATGGGATTTTGCTGGCTTTCAGGCAGTCCTGCAGGCGGTCAATGAGTGTGCGCTGGCTGTTGACTGTGCGCCTGCATCTAAGAGAGTTCGGAAGCGGTCAGAGTTTTGAGCCTGTCAGAACCAGGTCACGATGCATCGTTGAAGGTACTTCGCCGACAATGCATAACAACAATTGTTCCAAAAGAACAGCATACAAAGGCTAATGTTACCGTGACATTAATAGCCCCCCCCCCCAGAACTTGTTTTGCGATCCGGCTTACGGAAGGGGGGTCGCAATAATAAATGACGGGGCATGGGTAGGACCAGGTACTGCAGCTCGTACGACTAGTAGGACAAGTAGAAGGGAATCTATTAAGATCGGGACATTTCCGGCCGGACAATAACATTATTGCCACCCATTTATTATTGCGAGTTGGACCTAAGTAGACCTTGTCGGGCTCAAAACTTGTTAGAAAGCAAATTTGATTGTACGGGA